ACCCGCTTCTTGGCGCGCGTGTCCGTCTCCAGCTCCGCCGCCCGGATGTAGATCCGCACCGACTGCGGGAGGTGGCGCACGGCCTGGGCCACCACAGCCTTGGCAGTGTCCCCCGGCTGCAGCCTGGCCGCCTCCAGCCAGACGTCTTCGCTCTGGGGGCGGGCGCAGCCTCAGCCACAGCGGCCGGACGCGGAGGGCACCGGGCGGGAGGCCAGAGCCCCGGGCCCAGCTGCCGAGGGAGGCGCCGGGAGAGGCCCCGCCCGCGGGCGCCTACCTTGGGGCACATCTCCGTCCCCTTCATGATGAGGTTGCGCGCCACCTGCAGCTTCCCCGTCACCTCCTCCAGGCGCGCCGAGGCGATCCAGGCCGGCGGGTGATGCGGGTTCGTCTCCCGGACAGACTTGAGGAGCAGCCGCGCCTTCTTGATGTCGCTGCGAGAGCCACGCGTGTCAGGCCACCCCAGGCCGAGGCCACGGCAGATGCTGCCTGCCCCCCCCTCCCCAGCAGCCTGGACTCGACCAGCAGGCACGTCGGCCAACACCGGCCGAGCAGAGGCTCCGCACCGGGCCGGACGCTGGAGGCAGAGCGCGGACTCACTTGATGTCGCCCCCGTGGGTGGGGATCATGGAGTTGAGGTCTGTCAGGTAGCCCTTGGGGTCGACCACCGTCTGCCCGCTCACCGAGTCCGACACCTGTGGCACCGTGAGCCGAGGGGCCTGATGGGAAGGGCCGCCCGGCCCTGCGCCCGCCTCCGGCCTCCCGCACTGAGGCTCCCTCGACAGCCCGAGGGAGGGGGAGGCAGAAGCGGGGGCAGCCGGCTGCGCCCCCCGCAGCACGCGGCCTCACCTGGCTCAGCCGCATGTCCATCAGCGTGTTCCTGGCCTGGCCGATCTTCCTCATGTCCAGCTCCCCCGTGCCGGGCGTCATCAGACCGGGGGTCATGCCCCCCGGGTAGGGCGTGTTCAGCCCCCCCGGGTAGGGCGTGTTGAGACCTCCAAATTGCTGGGGAGAGACGGAGAAGCTGGCTCAGGCCCCGCAGCCAGGCCCGCACACCCTCCGGCCAGGGCCCCGGCTGGGTGGGGCGCTGCACCCCTGCTCACCGTCTGCCGGGGGTCCACCGACGTGTGGTTCTCTCCGGTCTGCAGGTGCTTGGCGAAGAAGCTGTCGGGCACAGGGGTCAGCTTCTCGTAGCGCGGGGCCCGCTGGCGCTTGTTCCTGGCGTCGCCGACCTCGGGGATGCTCAGCCACTCCTCCTCTGTCACCTCCGCCAGCTTCCTCTGCGAGGGCCAGCCCGCTCGTCACCCGGGGCGGCTCCCTGACCACGACGCCCCGCCCTCAGGGCCAGCCGGGCCCCGCCCGGCCGCAGAAGGCCACGAGGGGAGCGCTGCCGCCATCCCCACGCCCCGCACGGCCGCT